AAAAAATAAAAATTTAAGGGCATTTTAGTCCAAAAAACCGGTAATGTTACAATACCTAAGGGAAGGGAGATAATGACATTCCCGGTAATATACCCAAAAAAATCTACTATTGGTAATAAAACATTACCGGGAATGAGATTCCCAGCCAACCAAACATGGAAATATGAGATTCCCATCCGATGGGAATCCCACAATCCTTGAATCAAACACCCCCTTAATGTTTGAACTAGGGACATCAAATGATTGATTCGTATTGAATATTAATAGTTGAGTATTCGCTATTTAATTTTATTTTTATAAACTATAAATTTGAATATCTATCATTCCGATTTCCTTTAATTTTACAAATGGTTAATCTGTTTTACATTTTAAAATTTATGGTTTCTTACGAAGTTAGACATTTGTATTTGGCGAATTACTTAATTAATATGAATTGATAGTACTTGCAACTAATGTAAATGATAAATTGATTCAAAATTCAAAACGTATTTGAAAATTAAAATTTTAGACATATTGCATATATCTAACCAGTGTCACCTTTAGCAAAGATGAAGTAGACATTTTAATTTGAATAATAAACTATATCAACTATTTGAATTTACTTATTATAAAAATAGATGAATTAACCGTTTTCTTCCTTTTCCCCCTCCCCTCCCCTCCCCCCTCTTTTTTTTAATAAATTTATCAATTTTATTGATCAATCTAATTTCTTTTTTTTTAATTTTGTTTAACCGACACTAGTTTTGATGTTGGTTGTCTTTCGATTACCTTTTTTCTTTTTTAAATTTTTTAATAAGAATATTTATGTCTTTGTTTTATGGTACGTTTATCTATGCTTTTGTGACACATTTTTCTTTGTCTTTTGGTAGCTTACGATATTTTTTTCGTTTATCTTTTTTCTTAGGGTTAGATTTGACATCAGACTGATCAAAATGTCGCTTATTTGTTATCACATGAATCTTCTTTGCTTTGGACCCTCAGATTGATTTGAATACGCGTTTTGCGTTCGTTGATAGTTTTTTCACATCGCTTGACTCTGATTTGCAATTTTTCGATGGTCTTAAATAGCTTCATATTCTTTTGTGGTTCGTTTGTCGATGTCATATTTGTTCATGTATTTATTTTGTTCAAACATTGGTTAGATTTTTTTAATTTTTTCTCTTTTTTTGGGTCATTGTGTGAACTAGGTGTCTAGTTTTTGTGTTAATGGTTATAAGAAAATGTCTTAATTATAATTTAGTTTATGTTTACGATTATGTTTGTAAATCTTCATTGTAATTCTGGATATTTTCTATATTTAATAAAACTAGAGAGGCTTTCTATAAAAAAAAATAGATGAATTAAATTATATTAAATTAAAATATAAAGGCTGAATCCTAAATATAAGTATAACAACAACACTAGAATCTTATTTTTGATAGAAAAATTATTGTAAGATACATTAGTTGTAAAATTAAAAATACCCAACAACAAAAAAATTAATATTCTTTTATTTATTTATTTTAATGAATGTAATTTAAAGACACTTGACAACTTTCTAAAGTTATAAAGATTTTTAACTTCACTTGCCAAACAAATATATATTAAATTAAAAGACCCACAGATTGTAATTTTTCCTTTACTTTTCTGGAGAGCAGTTGGCAATGTTTCCTAACCCTACTCCCTGTATTGGAAGAAAAAAAAGTCACATTCAACCCTTATTTTACTGCCACGTGGCAGTATAACCTTCCTGGAAGTCACCTTCTTCTCTTCCACTCCTAACAAAAACCAGCCAGCCCGGCCATGTTTTATAACCTAATCTTTGCTTTGCTGCCATGAAACTGTTTCTTCTTTCGAACTCTTTGAAAACTCCGGTGTAACTCTTTCTTCTCTCATGCAATCTTCAAAAGCTTTACAACCCATTTTGTTCACCACCCACTTCTCCACCATGCTCAAACTCCTCAACAAGAGAATCAAGCGTCTCTGTTCCCGCCTCCGGTGGCCGGTTCGCCGCCGATCCAAGTCTATCATCGTCATCAGAAGGCTTCGTGAGTCAGGGCCCAAGACTCGGACCGATAATGGGTTCTCCAAAGTTCACCAAGATGGACAAAACTCGTCGAGGCCCTTACGTATAGCGACTTTCAATGCTTCCCTGTTTTCTATGGCTCCCGCAATGCCTATAGCAGATAAGTCTTCGAATTTAGATTATGAAAATGGTGGTTTTCTTGATGGTAGGCGCTCAAAGTCCACGAGTGATCGACCAAAAAGTATACTGAAGCAATCTCCTTTGCATCCGAGTTCCTTGAATGAAAAGGAGAATCTCTCCCGGCAACAAAAATATGCGAAATCCAGGCTAAGGGTGTCGATCGATTTACCGGACAACGAGATATCTTTGTTGCGGAATCGGCAACTGAGCTTTGCAGAAGGACGTGAAAAGGATGGTTCTTCAAGTACTACTTGGAGAGGCAAAGCTCCATTGAGATCAGCAGTGAGTTTTTCTGAAGATATGGGAAACAGGGTCGACGGTTCCGAGGGTTTTAGAAGCCGAAAGACGGTGCTTCAAGTGCTGAGGGAGTTGGATGCTGATATATTAGCTCTGCAAGATGTGAAAGCAGAGGAAGAGAAAGCAATGAAGCCATTGTCTGATTTAGCTGCCGCTTTGGGTATGAACTATGTGTTTGCCGAGAGCTGGGCACCGGAATACGGAAACGCCGTGCTTTCCAAGTGGCCGATCAAGCGGTGGAAAGTGCAGAAGATCTTTGATGAAACAGATTTCAGGTCAGTCTTCTCTTCTTCTCCATTGTGATTCATATTAAGGAATCATCAGTAGATAATTGCAGGCTTCTCCTCATTAGAGATAACGTCCTTGAAATTTTATCATTCCAAGTAACATTCAATCTTAATTGCGTGTGGGAAATCTGGGAATGATGCATGTCACCAAACACGCAGTTTTTGACTATGTTTTTTTCTTGTGGGAAAATGATCAAATTATGACAAAGATCAGTAGTTAAACTATAGCTATTGGTTAAAAGTGGAGAAGATATATTGGTATACAGTGTCGAGCTTTAATTTTTGTTTGTTTCAGTGGAAAACAAAATCATGATTTGAAAGTATATCAATTGAAGTAAGAGGATTGCTGTTGTATATGCAATACCAGTAGGCTTTGTTGATAAATCATTAACATACTGAAAAGGACTAATGAAACACAATGGAAAGTGACTCTTAATTGTATTAAGTTCTTTCCTTTTTAGCTATTAACAAAGCGAGGGATTTTCGATGACAGGAATGTCCTAAAGGCAACTATCGATGTACCCGAGGCCGGAGAAGTAGACTTCCATTGCACACACCTTGATCATCTTGATGAGAACTGGCGCATGAAGCAGATAAATGCGATAATTCAATCGACTGATGGTCCACACATTCTAGCCGGAGGCCTCAATTCCTTGGAAGAAACCGATTACTCGAACGAAAGGTGGACGGATATTGTAAAGGTATGTATATTATATGAAGATATTTTCCTGAACATTATCTGTTAGGATTTTGAACTAACAATTTTCAGATGGACTTGTCTTTTTATAGTACTATGAGGAGATGGGGAAACCAGTACCGAAGGTTGAAGTGATGAAGTTTCTGAAGATCAAACAGTATACCGATGCGAAGGACTTTGCAGGGGAATGTGAGCCTGTGGTTGTGATTGCCAAGGGCCAAAGTATGTAACCATTCTCTTTGAACTTCTTGATTAAAATCCATTCATCGACATGACATGAAAATTGCTTCAATTTGATGCAGGTGTACAGGGAACGTGCAAGTACGGGACTAGGGTCGATTACATAATGGCATCACCCAATTCACCGTACAGGTTTGTTCCAGGATCGTATTCGGTCCTGTCATCAAAAGGGACTTCAGATCATCACATAGTAAAAGTCGATATGATCAAAGTAAATGATAATGTCGAAGAAAATGTCCATAGAAAGCTTCAGCAACCGAAACAGAAACAGAAACAGAAAGTTATAAAGATTACAAGCAGTTCTCCATCAAAATGCATGTGGAAAACACATACTACATGAGCTGAAATTGACTTTAATTTTTATTCTCTTACCTTTTGTTATCAACTCTAGGGAGCAGATGATTTTGAATCTGCATCCATTGAAAATATAACTGATATAGTTTAAAGAATTCGGATGCTTCTTCGATTTCCACAGTTTCCAATACTACAAAGGGTATCGAGTGTTTTTTACATCATTTGTTCTTATTTACCTTTCCAAGATTAAGCTCTTTAAAAAAAACCTAGGCCTTCATAGTCTATACTCCATGTTATTGAGTGTATTTTACTTAATATTTGACTAATAATTAAGAAATTAAAACTTTGACCAGATAAGGGTTCAACCTGCAAGATCTTGAATGAGCTAGGCTCGAAAATCTAGTTGTAATTAAGTCGGTTGCTTCAAGATGCTACAGTGCAGAAGAACAACTACCTCTCATGGTCTTATGTGCTTCTCATTTCTCTTTTCTGGCACAGCAAATTCAGTCGAACTGTCTTTGGCGATCATCAAGTTACGACTCTTCAGTCCATGTGATGCAGGTCCTGGTACTCTAATGGTGCACTGTTGGCACTCTCCAATCACAAGAAGCACATGGCTGAAACAAGTATTGTGGTTGAATGACAGTAGAAAGTGTGTGCCCAGCGAGCATCTGTTCTATACTTTCTGTTAAATATCATGTGATTGGCTTTTGCAAATATACCACTTTCTAATGTTCAAAAGAACAAATTTATGAAGAATAGAAGCCATCGAACAGATACATTTGCACCGATTCCATATGGTAATATTCAAATTATGCAGAAGCAACAAAATTTGCAGAAAGCTACTAATTGAGCAACAAGGTTTAGAAAGCAAATTCTTGCAATAGCCTTTGTTACAAAACTCCATGCCACATGGGTTGGCAAAAATATGTTACACATGAAGAATTTTCAAGAAACACAAAGTATCATTTGATTGATGTTCTAAAGAAAGTTGCTATACTGTACAACATTAGATACTAGTAAATGTGGCACTATTTATATATGTTCTATATCATTTGAGTTCAAATGAATCTAGCTTAAGTGTAAATCTATTGTATTTTTACAACATCAGATGCAATTATGAACTTTTGAAGCACCATTGGAGAGCTAAATGACCCTGTTATGTTAGGTTGTGCTGATCAAAAAATTCTATTCGAAAAAGCCCGAACTTGTCCCTTCCTCCTTACTGCTAGAATGAGGAGTACTTTCATAAGTAAACGTTCGATAGCCAGCATGACTCGAGAGCTGACTAGAGCCATTACTGCTTACGGATCTCTCGATGTCACTTATATGAGCTACCAGAGGAATTGGCCGCTCAGGGATCGAGGGAACTGAAATGTCTGTTTCCATTATTTTCACTACCTGATCCATGGTTGGTCGACATAATAACTCTGGATGAGAGCAAAGAACCGCTATCAGAACATACTTCTCTAGAATTTCAGGTGGCCCCAGCTCTGGCATGCCATCTTCGATAACATCTAAAGCTCGCCCATTCCTCACCAACGACCATGCCCAATCAGCCAGGAGAGAAGGTTGATTCTCTTCACTCATAGTGAGGGCCTTCTTTCCACTCAGGATCTCAAGAAGCACTACACCAAAGCTATAAACATCGCTCCTCTCGGTCAATTGTCCATACAATGCATACTCAGGGGCAACATATCCCATCGTTCCAGCTACCCTAGTGCTCAGGTGTGTCATCCCCTCCGGCGTAAACTTTGCAAGTCCAAAATCTGCTACCTTGGCCTCAAACTTCTCATCCAGAAGTATGTTACTCGCTTTGATATCCCTATGAATGATTGCCGGTTGTGCCCCATAATGCAAATAAGCCAGTCCCCTAGCTGTCCCTAGCGCAATCTTTTGCCGAACAGGCCAACTAAGTCTCCTTTCTGTGGAACCAAAGAGATGATCATACAAACTACCATTCTCCATCAGATCACAAACAATGATCCTCTGATGAACCTCTAACGGGGTCGTGGGTGTAGCCGTACAATATCCCCTCAAAGCGACCAGATTCACATGCCTAACACTAGCAATAACCTCAACTTCATGAGTGAAATTGGCATCACCAGCAGCAGAACAATTCTTGAACCTTTTGAAAGCAACCTCAGAGCCATCGGGCAAGTAACCCTTGTACACATTCCCATAGCCTCCTTTCCCAATAATGTTATCTTTAGTGAAGTTCCTAGTAGCTTCCTTAATGTCATCAAATGTAAACTTAATCAAGTGAGTACTTTGACTAAATGAACCCAACCCAGAACCACTTAAACTACCCATCTCGAGGCTCCTGATTCTATCCCTGCCTTTCTTCCTCTTTGAATCCTGATATTTTCTATAAACAAACCAAGACCCACCAATCAAAGCAGCTAAGCCAACACCAACACCGATTAAAACACCTAAAATCACACCACGTTTGCTGCTCTTACCTTTAATATTACCATTCTCCCCGATTTGAATTGAAAATATACAAGAAGCCGTACCTTCATCAGTTGGTCCCAAGTAATTATCAAAGGCGGCTGCATAAATAGACGGGTAGGCCGCACAGCCGGACACGTTGGCGGTCGAATTATCCGGCGTAAAGTACGAAGTTTGCAAATTGGTCAAGCTTGTAGTACACGAAGCACAACCGGAACCCGGCAACGACTGGTTACAACTGTAAACGATGTCGTTTAAGGTAGTGTTCGGGATAAAAGCTTCAAAATCAGCCCTTGTGGCCAAGTTCATGCAACCTTGGGAAATCCAAGCGGTTTGGAACCCACACGAGGAACGGATGTTGAAGTTCGGGACCAGAGATTGATAAGACTGCCAGCACGACTCGGAGGAATTCAAGGGTGGAAAGAAGTATCCGGTGCGTCTAAGGTAGTCGGAGAGGAGGAGACGGAGGCCCTGGCGGAGGGAGTGGCACTCCGGGCGGAGACGGCTGGGGTCGGAGAAGAGTGGGCGGAGGATGGTGAAGTTTAAGGGACATGATGATGAAACGTCGCCACTTTGAGCAAGGAATGATGGGAAGCAAGTTAAGGTGATGAAGATGAAGAGAGAATGACGAACGGACATTTGGGAGCTGAGAGGGTGGCAGTCATTGGAGGCCGAGGACAACGCAAAAGATTGGAAAGTAAGAAGAATAGTGGGAGTTGTTGAGAAATTTATGATGTTGGCTTTTATTCACTGTTCAGTGCTGACTTTCGGCAGTTTAACTCTGATTTTAGTCCCATTATTATTACGATGAGCTCTCCATTGTTATTTGATTTTCGTATTTATAATATTATTAATAGATATACAGTGATAATATAATTACTTTGTCTTCTTTGAAATGATGATATATTTTTAAAAATATATACTGTTTCACTTAAAATTAGTTAAAAAAAAATCAATATTTTGGCTTTAAAGACGATAAAATATTAAATTACACTAAATTGAAATAGAGATATTATATTTTAAATTTCATCATAAGATAGGGACTAAAGTTAGAATTAAACCTTTTATTTTTGAGATAGGCGGCAAAATGGAGGAGCAGGCAAGTTTCTTCCCAGAAGGTTGTGCCGCTTCGTGTTTAATTACTTATTTAGTTTGATCCAGCGCTTTGCGTTTATTGGCTAAACGTGGTAGCCTTCTCTAAGAGATAAACCTGTCATAAATTGTCATTGTCTTATTACAATAAGTCAATGTATTACGTCACCTATACGATAATTTAAGTGGCAATCAATTTAATATATTTTAAGTAAATTTTTATATTTGAATCTTTGTGTATATAAAAAAAATTTGTTGAAAAATTAAGTCACCAAAATTAAATATGTAACCGGAATCGATCTAGATCAGTCATGAAACCTTAAAAAGGTAAAAAAAATCAATGTATTATGTCATTACTTTTCAATGTTGTAAGGTCAAAGGTAAATTTGGACTCACACTAGACACGGTTGAAGACATATTTCGAGGTCCAACATAAAGTCAGATTTATTGTGCAATACGTTTAGAGTATATTAATAGTTTAGATAACCACAATTTTAATGATTATGCAATAAAATAATAAAAATAATTTCATTCTTTTAAGGTGAGCAGTTGATGCTAGTATGAATTTGAACCTGCTTGTTACGTTATAAAAATAAATTCGTCCATTTATGATAAATCAAAGATTAAAATTCATGATAAATAAGGAGTAAAACAAGAATAAGACCTTTTAGTTTTAGCCGGCAAGTTCCAGGAAGGCAATGTGGCGTTCTGTTTCTTGACTAATAAAGTGGTTGTTTACTCCTTGCTTGTTCAATTTGAGTTTCAAGTCGTTCATTATTTCTTAGATTTTCAAATTCCCATTATTCATTTTCTTTCTTTCTCTATTTTAAGAAATCAACCGGTTCTTCATGTTACGTCATTTTTTAATGTAATAAATATTAAAATTACAATATATTTTATCAAATATAAAAATGCGATACATGAGTTTTATTTCAATTCGGTTATATTTTAATATAATTATATATATATATATATATAATATATTTATCTATTTACTTTGTTTTCTTTTAACCAAGGGTGACACTTGTCACCCTCTAATTAGTGGGAAAATAAGTATATTGAATTAAAATAAAATTATTCATCCAGCAGAATGGTGACATGTGATATCATTTGATTGAAAGATTAAATTTTATTAAAAGTATGAGTAAATTGAAATAATATGCAAATAATGTAGATCAAATGTGTTATTATACTAAAATACTTAACGGTAATTAACTCGTTCTAACTACGTTTTAATTAAATAAAAATGAAAGTGATCATATATTTTATTTTTTGAAATTAGTGAAGAAAAGTTGACAAAGCAAAAACTTAAGCGATCAATCATGTAGTTAACATATTTTTAATGGTTATAAACACATTAATACATGGAACCTGATTAATGCAAGGAAACTCGCTTCTCTTGGCGTCGATTTTTCATAGGTCTTGACCTATGAAAATCATAAAACCTACAAGTGCAAACGGAAGAGAAGCCATTCTTTTTTAACTCACCTGTGGCGGGCTGTAATAGTACCGTATTAGCATGTATCAGGCTCCATACAGGCAAAAATGCAACAAAACAACGTCTATATGTATCCCAGTGGTGGATCAAAGCTGAGCTTTAACCCTCGTTGCCTATTGGGGGTGAGGGGTGTTTTATAAATTAAAGTAATTCCTCAGGCCCATTACGCCCAAAGGGCTATAGAAGGAATCCAATGGGCTATAGAAGGAAAAAGACATCCTTTTTCGGCTATAGATCATCTCCGTTTCTAGGTTTCTAGAAATGTTGTTAAGGGTGCGTTTGGTTCACGAAATGTTAGATTATCAGTGGGAATAAAAGATTACCAAGGAATAGGATTACTGGGAATCTTGTATTTTGTGTTTGGTTGGTTTAGCAAGAATGTAAGATTATCATGTTTGGTTAAAGGAATAAAATATTATTGGAATGTATATTTAACCAAATTGTCCTTATTAAATATTTCTTTTTTTAACAAGTTGGAAAATATTTATATATTTTCTTTAAAAAATTTAAATTCATAAAATTTATATAATTTTTTTTTACAAAAGTGAAAATATAAAAAGGTTTAATGAAAGGGTAAAATTTTATTTTAACCCCTGAACTTCATATAAAATTTTAATTATAGACTTTTTTGTAAATCTAAAATAGTTTAAGGATAACTTTGTAATTTAACATTCGTATAATTTTTATTATTCAATGACAGAATAAGGATATTTTTGAAAGAAAAAAAATTTTAAGGGCATTTTAGTCCAAAACGCTGGTAATCCAATAATACCTAAGGAAAGAGAGGTAATTACATTCTCAGTAATATACCCCAAAAACTCCAATATTGGTAATATAAGATTATCGGGAATGACATTCCCGACCAACCAAACGGGAGAATGTGGATTCCATTCCCATGGGAATCTCACATTTTCCCAACCCTGTGTTTGGTGATCTCATAACGGAGTAGCAAGATAAAGTCTCAAACCTCTTACATTTCTTATTGTTGTTCCTCTAGTTTATGACAGTTCATGGGGTTTATCGTCTGTGTTCGGTCGTATTGACATTGTCGTTGCTTTCAAGTACTAACTCGACGATATAATGAAAATAGAGAGTCGATTCATAAAATACAACATAAAATATTTTTGGATCAAATTTTATTATATCCCAATCAACAAGTTCACGTCCAGCTCAAACGACTATAATTTTATTTTTTAACAAATAATGACAAATTTAGAATATATGAATAATCATATAATTATTTTGTAACTTTTAATAGTCAGAGACTCAACAAAACAATATCATATAATAGAGATATCATTTTAAAATTTTTAATAATTGCATGACTTAATAAAATAGTACCATGTAGTCATGAACATTTTATGTATTTTACCCTTAGAATTATAACATTTTAAATGTATAATAATAAGATTATATTTTAATATTCTTAAAAATAATAATTTTAGCTTTTAGAAAATTTCGACCAGGTGGAGTAGACGAAATTAATGCAGTGACCAAGAAATTGAAAGAATCTCTAATATTAGAAATGTTTTGACGTTTCAAACTTTACCAAATACCAAGAGACCGGTCTTAACCAATTTAACTAAATAATTTGAATTAATAGTTTAACTCATTTGAAATATACGACTATCAGCTTTCTTCCTCCTAATCACTATTTTTTTTATAATTTATGTCAATTTTATTAATTAATCTAATTATTTTTAATTTTATTTAACCAGCTATGACATTAATTTTGATGTTGATTCTCACCCGCCGATTATATTTTTTTCTTTATTTTTTTAGTTTTTAATAAGAACAATTATGTCTTTGTGACATGTTCTTTGTCTTTATGGTACGTTTATCTTTATGACACGTTTTTTTATATCTTTTGGTAACTTATAAGTTTGTCTTTTTTCTTTTATATTTTTTCACATGGTTGAATTTGACATCACTACAACTGATCAAGATGGCGTTTATTTGTTATCCTGGTGATCTTCTCTGCTTTGGACCCTCATATTGATTGGATATGCGTTTTGCGCTCCTTGATAGTTTTCTCATATTGCTTGATTCTGATCTGCGATTTGTTGATGTTCTTTCAGTAGTTTTATCTCCTTTTATGATTCGTTTGCCGATACAGTCAGATTTGTTCGTATCTTTATTTTATTTGAGCATTGATTATGTTTTTTAACATTTTTCCTTTTTTGGTCATTGTATGATCTAGGTGGCTAGTTTTTGTGTTAATAGTTATAAGAAAATGTCCTAATTGTAATTTAGTTTACATTTACGGTTATGCTTGTTAATCTTTATTGTAATTTTGGATATTTTCTATTTTGAATAAAATTAGTGATTTTTTATAAAAATATAAATATATGACTATAATTACTAGAGTAATTTAACTTATTCAAATAATTAATTAAAACTTAACCATACCTGTTATGCGCACTTCTAATCAATACAACGATAAGAAAGGTCGTTCATAGTCCAATAAAAAGAATCTCTTTTACAATGGTTTAGACTTTGTTGAGAAATCAATATTAGCTCACACCCAACTCAATTTAATTTAATTGTTTACATCAATTTAATTAGGTAAAGATATCATTATTTATCTCAATCTAATGAAGTAGGTGATAATAATATATGGCTAGAAATATTTCTCAATTTAATATTTATATAGTGTAAGTTGCATGGTGAAAACTATAGATACCACCTTACATTTGAGTTAAGCACCCACAGAAAATTTGAGTGTAGTGTCTTGAGTATAAGTTGTGGGCTTTCTATTGAGTGTTTATTTCTCTTCAAATTGTGAGTGGTATTTAAAAAGTGTTGAAGTATTTGTTATTGTGGGTATAATACAAGTAATTTGTTTACCTGTTTGGGTCCAATATTAGTAAGTTTAGAGTTGCATACTCTAAATTTTGCTCAACAGACTTTATATGACCTGTAGATATTGACTTTGAAGTTTGAACCTACAAATTAATCACCTATCGGTATAGCTTTATTTATTTATTTATTTATTGTATTTATAGTTTTAAGGTTTTGTCTTGATTAACTGTATCCATCCGCATCGCAAGTCTAGTTTTATTGGGTGAGTCTCCTAGCAAAGATTTTTACATATACTAGTATTCGAACTC